CCGCCGATTCGCCGCTTTTGGCCAATGTCGCATCTAGGTTATAAAACGGCAATAAGTGAGCAGTTTCAGGCACTGGAGGCACAACAGGGGAGCAGAATCATAATTTTATTGTAGAAAGAAAGGTTGTTGGTTGGTGTAAGCCTCAATAAAATTTGTTTCTGGCTTCAGACATCCGGGAGTCGGCTTTTTTTACTTGTCTACGGATAAAAGTGAAGATGGCACCCTAACGGGTCTCTCAATAAAACCCGAAGGTTATCCAAGTGGAAAGCCATTTAAGCAGCCAGCAGACAGATTTGATCGCATAAAAGCGAAAGAAAAAACATGCAGAAACTGATGACGTAACGGCGAAGACATGGTAAATATTGTATTTACTTATCGTTTCGGTTAAGGTGCTTGATCTGATTAGCTCCTGTTGTTGGATGAATCGGCTTCACTCAATGCTTGTTCCATTGTCGCAAGTCGTAAACGGTTACAAGGCTCATGCGTTCGACGTCCAACTTTACAGTGTTGAGCCACGCCTTCAGTTGACCGCCATGTCGGTATCTCCAGTTTGCATTACCAGAGGGGTTCACGACCAATCTGCAGAGATCAGGGGATGGCTTGCGCAGAATATGACCAAACCATTGTTATCGGCGATGCAGGATGTTTGAAACACCTGCGATATAGCTCAACCTTCGAAATTCAATCCTTCCGGGATACTCTTAGGAGGCGTCGAAGACACCAACGTTCCAAGACTTCGAGCAATAGAATGTCTGTTCTTCTCACTGGCCATATTTCGCAGGCATATACTACCACCGGTCGGGTGGATGCTCTCTATATTGACAGTTTAGTACGTAAGCTGATGTCTGAGCGAGACCAGAGTGGTCTGACTAGCAGCCTAAATGCACTTCGAGCATGAGCGATTCGGTTCCTGATTTCTGCTTTGGCCTGTCCGTTGGCTAGTATATTCGAGCCCAAACAGCGGAAGCAGCTAATTTCTCCGATGGGTTGACCACTGATAAACAGTGGTTGTGCTGTGCCAAGATGCGTAGTCAGGAACTTTGTCTTGCGTATGTTAATCGTATGACCAACATTTGCAGCGAAGCTGGTGATTTGGTCTAGCGCTGGCTGTAGTGACAAAGAGGTAGTACCAAGTACGGAAATGTCATCCGCATACTCCAGGTTAGGAACTCTGAATTCAGGGCCCATTTCACATTGGGTTAAGGTGATCTGAGGTGTGTAGAAAACCTTAACGAATCTTCGGTGTTAAAGGCAACACATAAAGCTCGTGGCTCAATGGTTAAAACGTTAGACTTCTGATCAAAAGGTCGCGAGTTGAAGCCTCGGGCGATGCACCATTTGGGGTTGCGTATGACTGGCTGACGACGGATAATAAGCTAGAAATGGCCATTCCAGTCTCTCCTGTCTTTTCCGGCAATGCTATCTGCAAAGACTGTGTTGTTTGATTTTTAAGAGGCATTCCAATGTCTAACTTCTTCTACTTGCACTTGCTACGGTTGAATGTCTAACGTCTTAGGAAAGATCTGTCCGCTGAGCCGTAAACATTGCCCTTATGGAGAAGAAATGACGGGGGACAAATGCAAATAGGCTTTTGGTAGTCCTTTACCATTCGTGGCACCTGCCTCAGCATTCGACCGAATGCCGTCAAGAATTCACGGTAGATCAACAAAGGTTTCTATAAATCATCGCCATACCCGAATAAGACGCGACTCCTCCCGCTGGGTAATGTGGCCAAAAACGGGGAAGCATGGAGTTCATCGCCGAATTTAGTATAAAAACAATTACAATGAAAATGGTCGCCCAGAAGTTAGGACCTGTTCGGAAATCGAAAAGAGAATTTGTTTCCCAAATAGTGTAACGCAATACCTAAATTTGAAGTGATCACATCGTTAGTAGGGACAGGCAAATCTTCTAGTCCATCGGCATAGTAGATGCGGGCATCCGAAGAGTGGGAGTCCTCTGTACGACCAGTGACTTCCTCGCCTCGGAGGGCAAAATCGAACCTGACTGAGGGAGCTCGGCATCTAAAAGGAGTAATTGTAATAGTCCTCAAATTAGCAAGCCCTAGGTATGCTGTTTTACAGTTTCTATCATCCTTTCGATCGCAATAAATTAAAGTATTATTTGGAGAAGTATCGACTGACAAGCCACTGACAAGGACTTATGAAACACTGCTGGTTTCGATCGAAAGGGGCAGATCTACGCGCCATCGTATGAATACTCATTCGGCCCTTGTAGTGAAGAGTCGGTCAAAGCATCCTCCAGCATCGGAATACGGAGGCCGGTGCTGTGCAGGAGGTTGGTGCAAGCGAGGAGAAGAAGACCATCGCTGGGACAATAA